TAGGCTCTCCAATCCGGGCTTTTATCCAATGGAGAGCCATGGCCTCAATGTGGTCATTCCTCCCGGGAGCTTGGACAAGGTGGTGCTCACCTCTGCAGCCGACCTTGACAATAAGACGACCCTGGGCTGAAAGCAGTGTAGCAGCTTTAATCTGCTTCCGGTTGTTGGGTTGAACTCGTTGGGGAAGGGCTCTGAGGAACATCCTTGGTAGTTTCACCGCTTCTTGCTCGTACCTGCCGTGCCTACGTCACACAGTCGTCGCAAAGCCTGCCGCAGGCTGAAGGGACAGTTGAATGATTGGCTGAAGACGGTGCTGGACAAGATGGACGGTGTGGCCCAAACAGCCCAATCGGAGGTTCGGAAGGCTTGCACGGACCTACTAGAGAAGCAGCAGCATGCTTTCAGCGAGGCACTTGCAGGGATTTTAATTGTTTCTTCTACTTTGCTTGCATGAAGGGGCAAAGGTATCAGATTTGTCCGCGTTCGGATGTGGGGGCGAGGTGAACCACTTGAAGGTCGAGGTTCTGGGCACCGTGTCTGCACGAGCAACCGACCATGAGAACGAGATGAAGGAAATCAAGAAGGCCATGGATGGCTTGGCTTGCAAGGCCGACATGAAAAGCATCACGGACAAGGTGCGGTGATGAAGTGCTCATCTGAAGCGCTCCCACCCTTGAATTCCGAGGTTTCAGAAATCATGAAATCGCTTGCCAAGCAGGTGGGCATCTGTGGGAAGTCGGGCTCCCGAAGCTTAGGGCTCAGGGAACTTGTCAAGTCTCTCCCCTTCTCTCTCTTTCTTTCTCTCTCTCTCCCTCTCTCCCTCCCTCCCTGCCTCCCCCTGTAGCCTTGTCTCCACGCTCCGTCCCAAGTGGGCCAACAGGAGCCGAACAGACCCCTCCGGACTGCACAGGCGGACTTGCTGCTGGAATGGCAACAGCCACTGCTGCAGGCGCTTGGCACGAACCAAGCCGAACTGACAGCACAACTGGCTGGTTTGTCTGCCAGTCAGAGCCACCTCTGGGAGAAGATGACGTCCCAACTGGGTAGACAGTCTGCACATTCCGGCGAGCTGGAGACTCGGATCTCAAGAAACCATGAGGACCTGACTTCCCGACTGGAACAGCATACCGACTCATTCACACAGCTCCAGCAGCAACGAGACCATCTGTTGCAGGAACAGCAGCGGCAGCTTGATCATGTTTTGAGCACGCTGACAGACCGGAACCAGAAGCTGCTCTCTCAGCTGACATTGCAGCTGGAGACCGTGTCGACGGAGCAGAAGCAGCTCAGCTCCGATTCGCTGAAGCAGCTCATGCAGCAGCTCGACCTCCTGCTGCAACAGTTCGAGCCTCTGACCGAGGTGACGCAGCATTGTGATCAGCTGCTGCGGGAGCAGCGGCAGCAGCTGAACCCCGCAATGCGCAGCGTTCAGGATCAGAGCCAAGAGATGCTGATGCAGCTGACAACGGGCTTGCAGGGTCTATCTGCAAGTAGCCAGCAGCATCAGCAGCTCAGCGTCGACTCCTTGAAGGAGCTCAAGCAGCACTGCGACCAAGTACAGCAGGAACAGCAGCAGTATCTCGTTCCTCTCACACAGTTCACGCAGAGCTGTGACCAATTGCTGCGCGAGCAAGGGCACATGCTCCATCCCCTCATGCAGCTCACTCAAAACTGCGACCAGGTGCTGCAGCAACAGCAACATCGGCTCGACGACCTCCTCAGTACAATTCAGGATGATCGCCAAGAGCTGCTGACTCAAGTTAGCTCACATCTTGACAAGTTGGACAACTTGTCTACCGAGAGCAAAGAGCTCAGTGCCAATTCAGTAGCAGAGCTGAAGCAGCACCACAGCCAACTGCTGCTAGAGCAGCAGCAACGGCTCGATCCTTTGTTAAAAAGTCTTCTGGACCAGCTGCTGAGCCAAGTGGCAGTGCAGCTAGAAAGCCTGTCTGCAGAACAGAAAGAGCTCAGCACTGATTCGCTCGTACAGCTAAAGCAGCAATACGATCAACTTCGCGAGCAGCAGCAGCAGCAGCTACATCCTCTCCTGAGCACGCTTCAGGATCAGAATCAAGAGTTGCTCTTGCAGTTGGAATCGCAGCTGGACGATCAGCTTGACAGTTTGTCTGCAGAGCAGAAGCGGCTCAGTGCCGATTCCATGAGGCAGCTCACGAAGCACTGGGACCAACTTCAAAAGGACCAGCGGAAACAGCTCGATCAGCTCTTGAAGCCGGGAGAAAGGAGCTACGAGTTGCTCACCCAGCTCAAGACGTCGCTGGAGACGTTGTCAAAAGAACAGAAGCAGCTCAGAACTGAAGTGCTGAACCAGCCAACGATGCCTTCCATGACCGTGCAGCAGAGCGACCCCGGACAGCGTCTGCAACTTGATCCCGTTAGCGTGCTGCAGGATCAGCTTGCTGGATTGTCCGGTCGTGGGCAGCGCATGCCGCAGACTCCGCAGACGCCAGAGAGAATCCTCACGCCACCGGAGACGCCAAGCCCACGCAGGCTGCTGATGCCACAGAGCCCTCAGCAGCAGTCGCCGACGAAGATGCTGCAAGACTATCAGGATATGGTGCTGCTCAAAAGACATGAGGTGGCACATGCTAAGTCTGACCAGTCTGACCTGGTTATAGTCCGGAGGATTTCATCGTACTACCTGCACGTGATGAAGTCAGCGTAGCTGGCTCTTGCAGTGGTGCTGTTCACGTAGCTCTATTTCAGGCCTTGCAGCTTTTACAGTGTCCTTGCTGTTCTGAGCTCTTAAACTACCTGCAACGATGAAACTTTAAAGCCCGTCGGGAAGTTCCAAGACAGCGCAGGCTCGCTCACGCTCCCGCGGTCGCATTCCTCGTGCGTTTCTCCTCTCTCCCTCCTCTTGAAGGCCTAGGCCTAGAAATCAGCTCTTAAGCCGTCGTCTTGCCGCTACCTGATCCGTCGCTTAAGCCCTGTTTAGGTTCCAGTCCTTATGTTACTTATGGTGTTTACACCCGATCGCTACTCCGGGTCTCGGTTTCAGGGATCCCGAGCTCCAGTAGTCGCCCAAGGCCTCGGAGATGAAGTGTGTCCTGTGCCTGTGCTTTGTATCTTAGAGAGCCGTGTCGCCAAAGGCGAGAACTGGTGAGGGGACAAAGGCTCCCGGAGTCCCGCGACCCAGAGGCTCGTGGGATCCCCCCATAAAAGGAGGGCTCCAGGTAGGACTTCGCTGCCGCCAAGTGGCAAGCTTTGATCCGGCTGCGGTTTTCGCAGCGTGAATTTACAAAGTCTATGATCTCCCATCAGCGAGGCGACGAGCTTTTTACAGCCTCCAGCTCCGGGCGACTTCAGGGATGTGACATTCACAGCCACTCGAATGTTGCGATCTCTCCGCAACAAGGGACCCTTACACAACTGCTTATTTCACAGTATTTCGCAAATTTTCGAACATTCGCGGAATGGAATCGTTGTGCACCCTTCAGGAGAGTTCAGAATCATTCATCAGCAGACAGTGTCGTAGGTGTGCCGTATGCAGGGTCGTGGGCACCATCTCAGCCTCTGGTGGCTTTTTCGAGCTCGTGCTTTCCCGACATCCTGCCAAGCAATACCGACGCTTTTCTCTTCAAAAGAAAGTGGCAGGAACGTGGTGAGCTTGTACATGTGCCTGTATGTATGTATGTATGTATGTATGTATGTATGTATGTATGTATGTACGTACGTACGTAGGTAGGTAGGTAGGTAGGTAGGTAGGTAGGTAGGTAGGTGGTATGTATGTATGTGTGTATGTATGTACGTATGTATGTACGTATGCAGGAAGTGCGCATGCCTGTCTGTCTGTCTGTCTGTCTGTCTGTCTGTCTGTCTGTCTATGCATACACAGGCATATATACATACATACATACATACATACATACATACATACATACATACATACATACATACGTGCGTACATACGTACGTACGTACATACATACATAAATACATACATATATATATATATATGAGTGTGTGCATATGCATAGGTACATACCTACATAGATGCACCTTCACGCGTGCGACATGTTTACAGCATGTCTTTTCTGCGCCATCTACTGATTTTTCGTCACGTCCTTCCGCCTTATTTTCGTGGCCATTACGGTGCGAGAAGTCGAAACTTGCGAATTTCGGCCAGCCGGGCTGAACGGATGTCATGATTGGAACCATGAAACCCGCGATTTCCATCCTCCACGTCTCTTCTTACTCTTCCTACCCCTCCACTTTGAGTTCTTGAGTTTGCTTAGTCTGGCCTTCTAACATTTTTGAACTCTCGTGCTCAGGAACTACTTTCAGCTTCTTCTTGGATCTTATGGAAGGCTCCCACAGAATAAGGCCCCAAGCCCAAAGCAACCCAGAACCTGGACCTGCAAAAACCCTCAACACTGCCAGCACCCGGAACCCTAAACCCTCTCTGCAGCACGAAGCACGAAAACCGCAACAAGTTATGTGACAGTACGCGTTTTTTTGTGTTGCGTGTTCTTTCACTGTTTGATGTTTCTACACTAAAGTAGGTATTATGCAATATTGACCAGGGCCCGTCCAGCTTGAGGTCGACCAGGGGCCCATCGAGCCAGAGAGCAAAAGGACTTTTCGCCAGCGACGGCAGCCTGCAGAGGCAAAGGGCCACCGAAGCCTGAAATCAAAGAGAGGTCTAGCGGATTGAATGCTTGGGCAAGCTCTGGGCTCGAAAAATGTGCTATGTGGCTTCAGGCCTGCTGCGCTTTTGGCAGGGTTCGGGTTTCAACATGCAGTAGGAAACGCAACAAAAAATCGAACGACCAATAAGCTTACATGGCTGGAATAGAAACGGAAGCAAACAAGTAACAACTTCAAAATCGAGGAATCGTACGAAGGGATCACCTAGACACTTCGAGCCAGCCCTTTAGTCCTCAGAGAGGCGTAGGGTGACGGGTTTAGGGGTTTAGGGTCTAAACTCTCTGTCTACCATGGCAGCCTGCTAACCAAGATCAAAACGATCTAACGCACCATCAGACTGAACCTTTGCGGTGAACTCTTCTTGTCAGAAAATGGCGGAAGTCATCAAGTCGCATCGAGCTACAAAGCTCATTTAAATGCCACCTGGACCAAAAGCAACGAAAAGCAACTCTGATGGCAAAACAGCAGTCCCCGGCACCCGTGGAAAAGAAAAAGGAACCAAAAAGAAGTCCAAGTCGCTCGCAGGAAGCCAATGCCAACCTTTTCGGCCCCACCGGCGCCGGTGCACCGGAACCGAGGCCTCTGCTGGAAAATGAACTTGAAGGCTGGTCGTTTTGCTGGGGAGGGTGGGAAGAGTGACGACCACCACCACCGCGACCACCACCACTGCCACCACCCGCAAACATGGTCGTGACTGCGCCGTCGTGGCCGCATAGAGCATGCTGCCTATCACTGTACATGACTTGACCATGCTTGCTTGAACAATTGGTCCAAGACGCCACCCTTGCATCCAAGCGGCAGCTTCCCTGCACATGTGAAAGCGATACTCTGTGCAGCTTCCTTGGTGCTCTGGTGATACAAAGAGTACGGACAATGGTTTCGGCTCGGCTGAGATACACAGGTTGAACTGGTGCGATTGAGAGCCTAAGGACAAGCACTCTCGGTGCAGCTCTGCTTCGTACAACTATGCAGCAGCTGCGATAGTCCAGCCGTTGTCCTTGGAACACGCACAGGTGCAGACAATAGGCATTGTGCACTAAGCTCATGCTCACTGAAACGTTCAACTTCTGCATTGGCACTCGCACGAAGCCGAGGCAGGATTAGCCAAGGATCAGCGGGAGGGTGGCTGTGTGCATGCAGAGGCCTTGAAGTTCAGGGCAGAGCTCGGCCAGCAAATCGCCGATGTTTCGGCTGGCTTGTCCCGCTTGAAGCCTGAAGGCACGGAAGATCCCTCGAGGTGCAGTGCCTCACAATCGGGAGAAACGATGCCTCAGCCTCTTTCGTCTGTTTGCCCTTATGAAGGAAGCCTTTTCAGGGCTGCTCGGCCCCAAGCAAACCGAGCCATGGTGTATCGAAACCCTCGCCGAGCCTGGAAGGGATGTTGAGGAACTGGAGCCTGCTTCCACTGGCCTGCGGAACCGATCGACGTCATGGACACTTCTAGGAGTAAGGAGGGACGGAAGGAGGCAGGGAGGCAAGGAGGCAGGGAGGCAGGGAGGTAGGGCGGGCAGGCAGCCACGGAAGGGAGGGGAGCGGAGCGGAGGGAGGGGAGGGGAGGGGAACTCAACAAGGTCATGCAGAAGGACGAAGAGAGAAGAAAGGGATGCCCAGCTCTTGTGAAAGTGAATGTAAGGCAATGTTGAAGATATCAACACATGCGACAGAAAGACAACAAACACAGCCGAAAGAGAGTACGAGAAACACAATGCAAGGGACGGGCCCGTGTGCCTAATGCCCACCATCGTCCGGGACATCCAAGTCTCAATGAATCATGAGAGCAGGACCCTACACGGTTCAACCCAGTTCATGAATTCCAAGGGGCAGCCATGCTGTCATCACACTTGCAGCCATCTGACAGTGTTGTCTAATCGCAACATTGTCTAATCGCAACAGTATGCTGCACGCTCACTTGCGTTTGGAATCGCCGGGAGCTGTAAAAGCCATTCCTGTTACAGACCTGGGTGAAAGTGTGCAAAGAATGTCGGTCCTCACGTAATTGTATTTGGCGGAAAGCTAAAACCCTGAAACCTAAGGCCATACATCCCTACAGCCCCGAGGTCTACACCCTAAACTACAAAGCCCCAAAGCTGATAATCAAGAGAAACGCTGGTCCTCGATGATTCGTGTCAGAGACTCGAAATCGCATGGGGGCTCCTGACAGGCAGGAACAAGCCATGCCACGTCCCAGGGAACCTGTAACGCGAAACCAAACATACATACTCCCATCTACGAAAACTTGAGCGTCTGCATTCACGTTGGTATAGATGTGCATGCATATATATATATATATCTGTGTGTGTGCGCGTGTGCATGCATACATACATGCATATACAGCAATTACACTCATGCGGTAGGAACAAACAGGCTGACTCGACTTGGGCGCATCCCGAGCCCCGAGCTCCACAGCGATTCCGATGCTCTTCAGGGGGCAGCGCTTCGCAGCCTCTGCCAGAACTGGCCCAGGACAGCGAAGGAGCCAGACATCCTGGCTTCCACTTCTCGCTGCGGCGTTTTGGGTTCAGGGTACCTAGCATGGTCTTACCTACAGCCTCAGTGCCTCGGGTTCAGGATTGTTCAGGGTACCTTCTTTTTGGCTTGCTTCCTGAGGCCTGGGGAGAATATTCTGATTCTGCAGTTAGTCAGCTCTCGTAACACGTACGAGCACCACGAGACGGCAACACAACCGGCATGAAAGCTTTCGACTTTGGGGTGGCGGAGTGGATGCTTCGATGTCAATCTGCAGGAGGCTCGATTTGGGATTGGATCGGGGTGCCGGCTTTGCTGTGCCATTCCGCAAACAGCGGAACGTAAGGCCCAGAACTCCAAATAAACCAAATTCGCCTAGGTCCTAGCGGAATCCCTATGCTTTGTAAATCGCTAGTATGCCCTACCACACCCCCCACACTAATCTGTTGAAAAGAAGGGTTGCTCAGGTCTGCTGTCGCCCGGGCAAGGGGAAAAGGTCCCCGAATGCAGCATGCAGTTAGAACCATACCTTGCCCACGAAGCAGAAATCTGTGTGCTGGATTGGGCTTGAGCTTTTAAGAAAGAACATACGTGTCAGGTCGGCGCAACACAAGTAGGTCCCCCACGTACAACAAGTAACTCGATGGCATATGAAACACGGACTGCGGGTACGTGGCTCTCTCTCTCTCTCTACCGGGACTGGAGGAGCAAGGGAGACCCCCACCCCTCCGCACGCGAACGGGTACGTGGCTCTCTCTCTCTCTCTCTCTCTCTCTCCCAGGCATTCGAAACTTCAAGCCTGATTGAAGGGCGTCACTCGTGGCCCAATGTGAAACTGAAATGAGCCTAAACTCCTAACCCCTAGAGCCCTATAGCCCTACACCCCACGCTGTCCTAAACCCTGTAAACCCCGAAACCCTCCCATGTCTGTCTGATTGGGGCAGGGCAGGCCTCCAGTTGGGGCAGGCCGCCCTCTGCGAGCAGCTTCAAGAGATCATCCTTCGCATGCACGGGGATTGGGCAGTTTTCTTTTAGGCTAGGGCGAACAGGATTTCAGGTTTAGGAGTTTAGGTCTCTCGCGACTCGGGTCGAGCGTGTGAATACACACCATCTCGTACAAACTCTGCACAGCCCAAGAGTTGGATTCCGGTGCGCATTGCATCTGCCATCGTGGCCCAGGATGCAGGGTATGGGCCGCCGCACATCGTCCTTCTCGTTACTTCAGTCACTCTACGTCGTGTTCTAGAGTTCTGCGCTTCTCCCGACGTGAGGAAACGAGGGGGCCGTGTGCAGGATGGCAGGTCCAGTACACACGAAGACCACATGGAGTTTTCCACGGGTGCAATGGGCGATGAGGCACGATGAGAGCGGCATCGAGTTGAAAGCCGTCTGAATGTGGAAGATCCCTTGGCTCAGACGGCAGCTCATCGTTTCAAGGTTAGTTTGGACGACGACGTTCGCATGGAGCCATGCGAGTTTGGCGCAACGGTCAGTTTGATAGTGCTGACTCCGACTTCTGCGCGGTGCCGGGTTTGAGGAGGCTTCGGGCCTGTGAGCGCTCCTGAAGGGTGCTGGTGAGCCGCAGCGACCGAAGCCTGGAAGACTGGATGATGGCCGAAGTGACCTGGCCAGAAGCGGACAAGCGGACACGGAAAGAGAAAACTTCTTATGGCTGAAAGCTTGCCGTGGTCTTCTTGCAGCTCCGGTGCCGGCTGATGATGCAACGGAAGGTCCAAGACTTTCAACTCGGGAAATTTGACCAGCGTGCTCACGGCACGAAAGTGTGACGCACGCAGCGTTGGGAGAACCTCATGCCAGACATTGCTGTTGACACCTTCCGACGTGCCGACTGCGTGGGGTCCGGTTGGCATCCAGCAGTGGGGCTTCCTAAACGGCCTCTACACCACCCTCCCTCTAGCTGATCCAGGGCACCAGTGCTTCCAGCGGGGGAGCTGCCTCCCGCAGTAGATCCATGACCTGCGGCATCAGTGTCTCCTGGCACGGCTTTGGGGCTCAGGGCTTGGGCCTTGAGCGTATTTGCAGAAAGGTACGGAAGCGAAATGTGCAAAGCATGCACCACTATGGATGGGCAGTGAGGCAAGTCCAGCATCCAGAATGTTCGGAAACGGGGGCACTGTGCAGATGACTAGTGACCAGCAGTTTGCCCATCCACATCATGCAGCAAGGAATCAGTCCAGTCGAGACAGCCTAGGATACTGTAGCAGTGGCATAGGGGCGGCAGAGCAGCCAAACCGATGGTTCAACAGCAGCTGTCGCGGCCTCATTGTCTGAAAGATCGAGATACTTCAGTCCGGGGCAAATCTTGAGGAGTCCTTGGCCATCTGCGGCATTCAACCCAATACGAGCCAACTAAACACAAGCGGACAACAAGAAACTACAGGAATCTGCTCCAATACACAAAAGTAGAGCATCAACAGTAGCAATGGGAAAGAAACTCAAGTAACGTCAAGTAGCCTCTCGTCCAACACCAAGGACCGTAAGGCACGAAGTCCTACACCCCTAATTACCCCTAAACTCCAAACCCTACTCAACCCGAAACTTTAAATCCTAAACTTTAAACCCTAAGCTCTAAGCCCTAAACCCCTTTTTTCCACAGGCTTGAACTGAGCTCGCCCGGCCCTAATTGCCCCTAAACCCGAAGCCTCGTGGGATGAGTTGCCAAGTCTCGGTGGACGTGGGACTCTGTGAGCGTCGGCATCGCCCTCAGGCTCAGAGTCTCCTGTAGGTTTAGGGCTTAGGGTCTAGGATCTAGGATCTGGGGTTTTTTTCCCACCCGCTTCGCTGACTAGGTCGCACTGCAGGGAAAACCCAGACTCCAAGACGACGCACTTTGCACTACTCGTGAGGGCAAGTCCCGGGTATCCCGCGCGGATCTAGGGTTTAGGGTTTAGGATTTAGGGTAGGGTTTTTTGCTTAAGGGTTTAGGGTTCAGGGTTTGAACCCAAAGGTTTCGGTGCTCACACTCACCCGATCCAGGCGGGCATGGTTGTCGGTGCAAGTGACGCGATGAATGTACTGCGACGTTTCCTCTGGTTTCTGGCAAAATGGGACTTTCCAAAAATTAGGGTACCTTATTTTGGGGTCCTTGTGATCAGGACCCTACTATTTAGGGTGCTAAATTGGTCCCCTATCTTCGGGAACCCCCAAATCATGCCAGTACTGCCTAAGGCTTCTTGGGAATCGCGAAGCTTCCATGGGTCACATGCTGCACTCGCAGGCCACTCCCGGCCTTGCCCATAGTACCTTATACTCTTTTCAGCTTATCCTACTTTCCTCGGAGCGTGATCGGTAGTGACTGCGGACCTCAACTAGGTACTTGAAACGTGGGGGATCTCATTGGGAATTTGTTGCCTTATTGCAGTGTGTGTGCATTGGTCATTCCCTCTCAACCTAGGGTTTAAGGGTTTAGGAGGTTAGGGTTTTGGGTTTGAGTTTAGCGTTTTATGGTCTAGGGCTTGGGTCCTTGATTAAAGGAGGCGAGATTGACTGAATGTCAGGCCAGCTGCCAAATATCTCAGTTTCTGGCAGCCTGCACGGGAGGCCCGCTCTTCCTTGGCGGGGCAACCGGACAGGGAAGCCTCCTCCCCGCTTTTCCACAGAGGGACCAAGGTGGGCATGGCAGCACTGGTTTCAACTACGACTGACGGGAGCAAACCGGCGGCATGTGTTGACATGATGGGATTCCGGAACACGATACCGAACAGAACCCCAAAAGTGGCACAGACTGGGAAGTCAGAATTCTGTTCGATGAACTGAGATTGGGCGGACACGCTTCCTCACTTGGGTGGCTTGCAGCAGCTTCGTGGGACTTCTGGTCACAGACGCCAAGCGATGCTTGCGGGTGCTGAAGGCTGAAGGGCTTCCTACCATGCTCCTGCTGTGACTGAGGAAAGCCAAGCCTCGAGCCATGACACCACGCCTTCACAGCTGCCCAAGAACTCTTCCTCGTTCAGGCAGAGGTCGGGGAGGAAGCCGCGCTGGAGGACAAGGTCCCTGGAACGGGAGATCTGACATGTGAACTCCCTTCAACAATCACTGTCGCAGGCATAGGCACGCACTGCACAATGTGCCAAAGAGGTTCGAACTCTTCAGCTTCATGGAACTCTCGTTCACCCTTTTCGAACATTGTGCATGTGTGCAACATCGGACATTAAGCCCCTGTGACGTGCACGTGCACATGAAAGCATAAATACACGTGTCGGTGAACCCCCAGTGTGTCTTCGTGTGGCCTGTCCTGACCTCATGGAGCAAACCGAGAAGGCCTGAGCTCGCGACAGCAAAGCTCTGCTGCCAGCAGTGAGCTCGACGGCAGCCATCGCAAGCACAGCAGCAGCTTGTGCAGAGGAAAGGTCGGCTGCCTCGGAATTCTCTTCTGCTGTGCCATTTGCAATCCGATGCTGCCGACATCTGTCACTCAACTGCGGATGGATCCCCGCTAGGAAGCTTCCTCTGCCCGCCCTTCTCTGGAAATCCCCAAGCCCACCAGCCGAGAAAGCCTTTGGGCAGCAGGAAACTTGTCAAGGTTAGAAGGAAAGAACATCAGCGCCCCGCCCCCCGAGCTGCAGCGTCTCTTCTTACTCCACCACAGACCCTAGTCTGGAGTCCAAACTTAAACTACCCTTCCCCGAAAATGCAAAGCCCATTGTGCCAGGTAACAAAACCGGGGCTGCAGCTGCGCTGTCCGGCAGGGGCAGCGGCTCAGCCCAAAGCAAGGTGGGCAGCTGGCCCATGGCTCTTGGGACTTTCCCCGGCTGAAGGCCTTCGGAGCTTTAAGCTATGTGCTGTTGGATGCTTCCGGTCGAAGGAGCTCTGTGACACCTACAAACCTACAAAATACACGTGCAGCTGTCTGGCCTGCCTCGTACCGAACTCATGCCGCAAGGCTCGATGCGGCGCCGACACGAATTGAAGGACGGTCGGGACCGAGCATTTGTGATCCAGTGCACTGGTCTATCTCTACATTCACTCTACACATAAGTGTATGTATATATATATTTACACATGTTTGGACAAAGGTATGTCTGCCGCCCCAAGCCTGCTGAGACCTCGGCCCTCTGGCAAAAGTGCAAGTCCAATCAACCGAGCCCTGCCAATAATCTGAACTCTTGGTGCCTGGTCTATTTCTGGCGTTGCGCGAAACGAAGGTCCTGTCGCAAGCCAGTTTAGCAACAAAGCAAACCCACATCAGACAAACCACCAGCAGCCTGTGCTACCGTCGCAAACGCAACTTCAAGCCTTCACACGAAACCAGTCCTGCGCTTTCCTCCGCTGGCAAATCGGTTTCCTGTCATCTGTCAAGGCTTTTTTCAAGCACATCTTGATTATGTCTTGCACACGATGTTCTGGGGAGCACCTCCGGTAGTCGAGCTGGCACAGGCGCGTTGTCCACGTTCAGCCGCTGGATGGCAGCACTCGCGGCCGCATCCTGGCAACGCAAGTATGCATTTATGTGTGTATATGTATATACACAAGGCTCTCGGCTCGGACATGTGAGAGTTTAGCAAGTAGTTTAGCACATCCCTTGGCGTGCAATGGTTTTTGCTGCATTCTTTCTTGAGGGGATTCTTTCCTGCTGCATAATCCTGCTAGAGGGGACTCCCGTGACGACAGCACAGCGCTCTCAAAGCATATATTCCGAGCTGTCCGGGTCCCAATTCCCGCAGTGTGGTGGCTTGCGAGAATCGCGACGTAGCACAGAGCTGAGGTTTGGCTCGCTGTCCATGGGCGGGCTGGGAGCTTCTTCGGAGGCGAAGCAACATGGAATTATTTTATGGAAGCGCGGCCGCAAAGCTGCCTACACCGGGCAGAATCGCAAAGAGGACCGTTTCTTCGAACTCGGCGCCGGGCCATGGCGAGTCCCCAAGGGGGAGCATGGTACAAAGGCCGCTGGATCGATGGAAAAGCTCCTGGACTTGCCAGCAACGATGCACAACGGGAACCTGCGCCAGCAGGAGGACCAAGACGACAGCCAGCTGTACAGGGAAAGGCCAAGCCAGCTGCAAGACTGAACTTGCTGACATACAACATTAGCGGCATCTGCACCTCTGCATATGATGTGGTCATGAACTGGATGGTTTCCCAGCGCTCAGCGTGACGCTGACGTGATTATCTTGACTGAAGTACACTGGGGACTAGGGAATGAAGAAGCCTCCTGGACCAGTGGAGGCTGGCATACAATGGTAGCAAGCAGCTTCTACGTTTTCACAAGGCAAGCTCTACAAGTTTGTTCGCCAGATGGCACCCAAAACCCGGTCGGCAACAGGTGCTCTCATGACCGTCAAGGAGGAATTTCTCGAAATTGCAGGCCACTGTTTTGGACAAGGTGCTCCCAAGCAGCAGCGTGCCTTAACCGAGCCTCTCAAGCTCACCGTCGACGAGGTGCAGCAGGCTACTGTGCAATTGCAGGCCAGGAAGGGTGTCCCACGCGCGAGCTTTCCTACTACCATCTGGAAGGCTTGCGCTGGCTCGCTGGCTGAACGGCTCTGTCATGTTGCAAATTCCCACTGGGGCAAATGCGAGCTTTGGGTACCGGGGAAAATGGGCAAATTGTGAGCTTGTAATGATACCCAAGCCCGGTAAGGTCAATAAGCGTCCTAAGGACCTTAGGCCGCTCGGACTCCAAGACCCAGGAGGTCAGGCAACAGCCCGAGTACTCAAAGATTGCCTGCAGCCAATGGTGAGCCAGATGCTCTGGTGGACTCCACAGTATGCCTATGTGGAAGGCAAAGCAATAGATGAAGCAGTGTCTAGGGTTGCACGCGATTGCAGCTTGGCACGGGATGTTCCAGGACAGGCAATCGCACTGTACACGACAAGCGCAGAGGCGCTCTTGCAGACATTTGTGCAGGTGGAGTTCAATTGAGCGTCGATCTGCCGCAAGCTGTCGATTTACTTCCCGGACCTGTCTTGGAAGCCTCGCTGCAGCGGCTGGCGCAGAGCACTACATCTTTATGAGCAGCGCCTGTATAAGATTGAGCATCAGGGCTACACCACATAGATTCCCATGTGTAGAGGAGTTCGGCAAGGATGCACAGTTGCTCCGCTCTTGGTTGCAGCATGTTGCAGTGTTCAGTTCATACTTTTATCTTCTTCTTGGCCAGCGGGTTCCTCAAGACTGGGCAGCACAGTCCCTTTTTTTCTTACTTTGTTTGCTCACGACTCGCACTTCCTGGATGGTCAATTCGGTTGCTGATCTACAGTTCATGAACAAGTGTGTTCTTCAGGTTTCTGCGCTGCTCGAGGAACTAGGTATGGTGGTCACTCCTGACAAGTCTGCTATCATAGTTGGTTGGCGTGGACATGCCGTCAGTGGATACACACCCACTTGCGCCGTGTACAGGATCGTGAAGTGTTGGACCTGGGCCTCCATGGCAAGCCGCTTCTCATTCCCAAGGTGACACAAATGACCTATTTGGGGGTGATTATGTCCTATGGGCCCGGTGAGAAACAGACTCGTTCCCCGAGGCTTGAGGTTGCCGCTTTGACTAGACAGCAATTGCAAAAAAAACCTTCATTAGTCGAGGGTGCTTTCCGTTCGGCATCGCTTGCGTCTATACCTCGTCTGCATCTGTGGGTCTTACAATTGCTAAGTCTCCGGTGGACATCACACGCGAAAGCACTACAGATTTATATGCTAGATTGGGTGCATCACAGCCGGTACAGTACCACCTACGCCAACTGCTGGAGCGCCGAGTTACAGGTTGCCCAGGACGAAGCGGCCAATGCGTGGTTTCGCAAGTATTTAGCTTTTCTCAACAGCTCAAGCGAGGCAGTTTCTACTGCTCCTCCTTCAGCAAATGCTCCTCAATGCATTCTTCAGGTTTCCACCGACCGTACTGTGCCCAGCCATACTTGCGGTGTCTGATCCCGAATACACGTTGTATGCGTATACATCATGCCAAAGAACATAAATCCAGCTTGGTGAATACTCAGCAGGAGGAGGCGGCAATTCGGCGTGACGTCGATGCTGCGGAGCACGCTTTGGATGGGATGCCGACGTGTGTAACTCCAAAAAAATCAAATATCTATGTTTGTATATCTTAGTGGAAACCCAAGCCTTAGCAGGCTTTCTCGCGCCTCTTCGGCTGTCTTTGCCGACATAGTTCCGGCGGGTAGCCCGAGAGCATGACCTCACAGCTCTTGCCGTCTTACCTGTGTCCGTTACGGGGGTCTACCAGGCGTCATGAAGACAAATAAGCCGCCAACACTCAGAATCTTCCGTTCTCGCTGCTCCAAGCATCCTTTGTCGCAAGCTCCGTCCAGGTGCCGAGGTCGTCATAAAATGTAGGCATAAACATAAATACATGCGATCACCTTGCCTCCCAAGCTGGCCAACCAGCGATGCAGATGAGGAAAACGGTGAGCACGACCTCGGAAACAGTGTTCAACCAGCTCTTGCTATTGAGAGATCCGTTTGTCAAAGCCGCGACAAACGGCAAACACTCGCAAAACCATGTCATGACACCGAATAGCAAGTGCAACGTCTGGCTGAAGCTGGATTCCTTGCCCTCCCTCTGTTCCCGGTACGGCACATGCTCGGCATCATTGCTTCACGTTTTCGAGAACCTGGCCAACGGGCAAACCGGCAAATGATGTGCTTAGAGAGAATAAGAAAGGCATTGCCGCAATCATAACAGGACATGACATGTCAGCTCCACCAAGGTGGTGGCACCTTCCGTATGACAAAGAGGCGCAAACAACATCAATCAATCCAAAGCTGGGGATCGGTCACGGCTTCAGCCACTTGTCCATTCCTGAATCTGTCGTGGATGAACCAAATGGATCTTGGCAAAAGCTTGCAAAGCTGACATCGCCAAGGTGCCGCTCTACAGTTGCCAACACGGCCTGCAGGATTCGGCGCCCAACAAACGGTAGACGGCGAACGAAAAATGAGTAAACATCCCAAATTACCCTATGGGTCTCGAATCTTCGTCGGTGCGCCTCCATGACTTTCACGCACTCGGCTTGCTCACCTACACGGACACAATAGACATCATGCAACTCAGCAGTAGTAGCAATGTTTTGCGTGTTCGGCCGGTTGTGTCTGCCACCGCTGCTTGCAGAAAAGCTGCGGCCAACGTTCTGCTCCAATGCGGCCATCCGCTTCCTTTGCATCCAAGTATGGCATGGAAGGTCTCACTTTTGCGGGCGTTCGATGGTTACCCGCTCTGGTGCCACCCGAGCTTCACTAGCTTTCTGAGCCGCTCTGTCTTCCGCAACTTTTGCGGGCACAGGCTGTCCAGCAAACGGCTACGCAGACGCTGCAACATCAGCGCCGAGTCTGCCTGCACATCACGGCTCTGATCGCTCTGATCTCACCCGAAGACTCGTACGCAGCCGACCTGGCGTAGCACGCTGTAATTTGTGAGGGGCGGGCTTGTTGGCTGTCCAACTTGTGGATCGTGACTTGCATCAATGCCTGGACTGGACATGGTCAAAAATTGAGGTTGTTGTTTTGATAAGCAAATCATACAGGCACGAGATGCGCAAGCATCTGCGATGAAAACTGGCCAATGTGAATCTTTTGTTATACTTGGCCTTTCCCCCTGGGCTGCATTGTAAGGATATGAAATGGTCTGTGATTTTTGTGGGCGGCTTTCTTACATAGCTGACATATAACTTTTCCTGTGGTTTGCATAACAACGTGTGCCTGAAGCTCCGCAAGCTGCTCATTAACGCGCGCAATCCGCAGTGCGGTGGGCTGGAAACCGCCACCTGGATCCCAAGAACT